AGAGTCAATGAGAGTTCGCGATACGAGCCGGGGGTGAGGGAACGGGTACGATGACGAGAACGAAGAATGAGAGAGAGAGAGAGTGAGAGAGAAAGGGAGAGAATGAGAGAGAGAGAGAGAGAGAGAGGAGAGCAACGAACAACTAGAACACGGTGCAATAGCAGCGAGGGCCGCGGTGTGTTGGGCACCGCTCACGGGTGAAGACACGAGACGTGGCCTCCTCCTCCAAAACGTTATCGTTTTCCTTCGCTCGTAGCGGGCACGAGTTAGACCATTGTAAATTTTCTTTGTGCAAATAATATTTATTGCGCCGTGCGAGTCGACGCGACGTTTTAAGTGTAAAATACTGTCATTACTATCGCTCGGGATTATCGCGGATACCGTGTATATTGATTACGATTACGATTATTCTCTAAATACGATTAACGATTGAGCAAACGAGCAGTGGGAAACACACACAGGAAGAGATAGAGAGAAACAGTGAGAGGGGGGGGGAGAGAAAAGAGATGGAAAAGGTAAGAGAAAGAACACAAGCCGAGACATTACTACATCTCGTCCACTGGCTGGAAACGCGAATTTCCTCGACGAAATTCGTCTTCTGTCCGCGTGCGTGCGCGCGTAGTTTCTTGCATGAGAGAGGGGGCAAACGGGCAGCGAAAAGTTAAGAAGCGAGGGCAATGAGAGAGAGAGAGAGAGAGACAGAGAGAGACAGAGAGCGATTGATAATCCGGACGAGCGCGATCGCGCGTGAACAAAGGGGGCACGTGACGTCGAAACGCGAGGAACGCGAAGAGGGATGAGAAGCATCGAGGAGGGGAGCGAGAATGAAGGAGATTGCGCCGAAGGGGCCGGTGATTACGCGCGTTCGAGGACGAGTTGAGCGCAGTTTTTTCTGGAGCGGAACCACACACTTGTATACGTATTTCTTGTAAACTCTAATTCTTCCATCGCGGACTTTAAAAGTATTTATCGATATAACGATAACATTAATATTATTATTGTAATTATATACGACTGCTGAGAGAAAGAGTGAGAGAGAGGGAGAGAATGGGGACACGAGAAAAAAAAAAAGAGAGGAAAATGTGGTCTAACGTGGATGCGACACGCGGCATCGTAACGCGCGTACGCAGAATCGAACGCAGCGCGCGTACGCGACTCGCGGATACGAGTAAACGAAAGAAAGAAAGAAAGAAGAAGAAGAAGAAGAAAGAAAAAAAACGAGAAAATAGCCAACCGTGCGAAAAATACGCTCGAAAAGTACCTACCTACTTACAAATGCGCAACCACAAAGATATGCATCATGTATACGCGACTCTTGAAACCATTTTACCAGATTTGTCATTATTTAATTATTTCGGTTGTATTTTAAAATGCAATTAAAGCTCAAATAAATATATATGTTATAAAGTAAAATTGTCGTCTGATTTATCATTGCATAGACGTACTTTCACCCTACAGGTATGAGTACATCGAATTATTATTTCCATTATTGTTACCGAGAGCTTTCATCTTTGTCTCCTGTTCCTGAATTCTTTAATCCCGGTTATTATAAAACCGAGATTTCGCATTTTTAAGAGCCAAATTTTAAGAAACTGTACTTTTAATAAAATGACAAAGTTCTTTTCTTTTCTCGATGTTATTAAGATAATTAAAGTAATTTGAAAGTTCTTTAATGTTTCGAATGATTCATCGATAAATCTTTTTTTATTACTAATTGTTTGACGCTGGTCGCTATGAGAGCAAGAAAAGAAAAAGAACAAACTCTTTCTTTCTTAGTATAAATCAAGAAATATTTGAAATTTTTTAATATTCTGCACGATTGAGTTATTATTTTGATGCTGATAGAAATTTTCGAGATTAAGACAAACTTTCTCCTTCTCAGTCGATATAAATGAAATAATATTTTAATTTCAAATGTCTTCATACACACAGAGAATTCTAAACACGAAGATAAGGAAAAACGTGTGTGTATGAAACTGCACTTTGAGATCTCCTTTTTTAATCAAAGAGTAATTACATCTTCTGTGTACTAGGTCCATGTCATATTCTATTCATGGATCAAAATAAAAATGCAATTTCATATTTTTATGAAGATAATTAAAAAAAAAAAAATAGAATCCCAAATTATTTTACCTATTAAATATCGTACTTCGAGTATACTTCAAATACTTCCAAAAATGCGTAAAAATCCGCTGTCTAATTATAATTATAACAAAATCACAGAATCTCCAAGAAGAAGAAAGAGTATTAAATAAATGTCCTTTCCTCGGGAAAATCAAAAATAAAATAAAATTTAAATATAAATTGATGGAAAGGAATTGCAAATAATAATATTGTTCATCCTTCACTGTATCGATGTAAGTACTCCAACCTTTTATGATTTTTTTACATTCAATTTCAATCATTTCCAATTTTAATCAATATTCAGAAAATTACGCTTGAATTAATGAAAATAAAACACTCCTGCATTATACATATATATATCATAGTAAATATTAATTCACTTTTTGTGTCCAGAAGACATAATCATCGTTATCGCTGTCATCGTCCGCGTAAGACGATGCGAATGTTTTAGAAAATCGTTCGCCGAGAAATGGGAGCGTTGTTAATTCGATGGGACGCGATATCGGGTCGAGCGTACGTACACTCTGTTATCGGAGACACCGACTCTCATATAATATCCTCGAAGAATAGGCAGAACCGATGGATAAAGTAGATAAACGGAGAACCGCGTTACCAGTTACCAACATAGAAATCGCTTATCGGTCAAAGGGCCTTTCGCGTGATACTATCTTTGCCAAGGTCGTTTGCCGAACTTGCGTGTGCAACTCCGGATGTTGCGACATTCTTGCTGTTAAAAAATCTAAATTAATCCTTGATACACGTTTCGTATCTGTTCAAAAATAAATATAAAATTATATTCAATTATGACACAATGATATTAGTAATTTTATTTATTTATTCTTTTGGTATTTTATATTTCAGATTTTTTCTTCCCTCTCAAAATTAATGGCTATTATCCATTGGGAAATTTACAACGTGTTAAATACAATTTCACTTTATATTGTATTACTTGCCTTCGAAACTTGTAAAATTCACTAAATGGAGTTCTGTTCTGAATTCCATTTTTGACAATTTTTGCAGCTGCATGAAATTATTATTTAATGTAGAATCAATTAATTTTCGGATTCAACTCTACAAATTCTACACTATGTGTTAATATATTGCCTTCTCTGCACGAAAGTAAACTTTTACACGAAAATTTTCTTCCATCGGATAATTTCACTTTTCAAGTTGTTCTAGCACCTAACACGAAACATTATATTCAAAGTATCAAAGTATCGAGTATAAAACTATTTGTTGTTGAAGTAAAAATATCACGCAAACACTTTCAAACGTTCGCTATTCGTGAAATCATCGTACAAAGTCGCAGAAAGTTTCGACTTTGCGTTCTGTTGATCGCGAGTCAATAATGGAGATTCACACGTCGTATCTTTCCACTTTCTTTCCTTTCCTCGTCGAATTCCGATCGCGTGGCTCGGCGACAGATTGAAAGAGGCAGCACGTCTGGCGCGAAAAATAAACGCAGAAAGTGTAGAGACGGAGTCGACGGCGAAGAAGAGGGTAGGGGCAGGGGGAGGGAGAGAAGAAAGGAGGAAAGATAGAGGGCTTACGGACCTCACCTACCTATTGCCCGGGTCTGGTAATGAATTCGTCTAATGGGTCGTAAAGAATGCGATCTTATGGAGCGGAGAGGATAAAATAAAACATCGGCGGAGAGACTACCGATTCTCGAACGATCCTTAAAGTAACCCTCGCTTTAAAGAAAAGAGCTGTTCTGTCTCTCTTTCTTTCTCTCTCTCTCTCTCTCTCTCTCTCTCTCTCTGCTTCTCTTTTCGTTCTCGCCACCGTATCTCAGCTTCCTGTTCATGCCTTTTCTA